CCCTGATCTCCTCTGGGGATCAGATCCATGCCCAGAGCCCCTTCAACTGCTGGGGGCTGTCGGTCCCCCAGTCCTCGGTGGACCCAGCCCAGCTGAACCAGGCCTGCGCCAAGGTGGCCAAGAGTTGCCTGCAACGCAGCGTCATGGGTTACTTTTCGGTGGACTTTGTAACCTTCATTGATCCTAACACGGTAGGATTTCCCACTTGAAATTTTTCTAATTGCAGTCACTGAATATCGTTTTTCACATCAGTTAAGGGCAGGTTTTCCAGTTTAAATCAGTACTTATAAAGTAAGGTTGGAAATGATACTCAAGTGGACATTTCAGCTTGAACTCAACCCTTGCAGCATGGGATGTAATATTCAGAACTGTGATTCAACGCTGGTTGGAGTGGTGCTGTGGACAGAGATGGTTTGGTTTAATCTGCCGTCCACAAAATCACGAACCCTCTCCAACCAGTACTGTCCCAAGACAATGAAGTTGATGAAAAACGTGAAAACACTTAATTTGTTTTGGAGGGGGGCTGGCAAATTCAAAGTAGGGTAGGGGGAAACCCAGGGAGTATTGTTCAGTTAAAATTGTCTGGAAAAATATATCATGCAGCATATTAGCTTCATTATGATGTTGTGGTTGGGTCCATCAGACACGCCCTGACCAGATCTTTCCAAGTTATCCACTCAATTACAGTCTTGAGGCAAGTCAAGTCTTCGGTGGAGACAAAAGCAAAACAAAACTCATTGTCATTCTTTACCCTATCTCTTATGGCCAGTTTCATGACAGATCTTATGACTTGACTTACAGAGTGACCTATGTGAGGACTTGTGATGGACTTGACTTCAGAACTGTTGGGGTCTGTTAGGTTCTGAAGCATATCCTCTTCATGAGAGGTTGCAAATATTCAAATCAGTGGCCAGGTTTTCAAAGAAATGTTCTGCCTTGTAACATTCATTCGCATCCCCTCTTGCGTGATCATGCAGAGAGACCAGAAGCTGTGGGCAGTGGACCTCAACCTGTGGTACGATGACACTGTCTCCACCACTAGCCTCATGCTGTACCTCTCAGGAGGAACCTTGAATAACAAGACGTGTGAATTCCACGTACCACCTCCAAAGAAAGAACGAAAGAAGAGCATAAGGAGGAGATATGAAGATCTAGATCCGGAGGTAAGTGTAGTGTAGTTCAGTTCACGTTTTGTTTATTCAGATGCTTTCCATTTTTAAGTGTGGAAGAGCATTTGATAGAGATAGTAAGTTCTAGAACCAAAATTGAGCTTAGTACGGTGCAGTTCAGTGTCGAGGTAGGTTGGCATGGTGGTTCTTTCCTCACCTTCCACCTCTGTGGTTCCGGGTTCGATTCAAAGCCTGGTCCACATGTGGATTGGGTTTTTAGTCCCTACCTGATTCCGTGGATTTTACCCAGAATATTCCTCTAGGGTTTTCCTCCCACCTCTAAAACTGTAACTACTTCTCACTGTCTCATCTCTACAGGTTTCTTCAGGTTTGCAAGCTACTGTAACAGTGCCTAGGGCACTTTTGAGGAATCCTTTGTGTCAGTACCAGAAATTAAACAATAATAATAATAACAATAATAAAAGTTCTGATGAGGAACCATACAGCATTGTAAATAGAATTGCAGGTTGCAGCGGTTCAAGGATTCCCATTGATTTGAGAGTTTTCGGTCTGTACCAGATTCCCCAAGTTTTTAACAAAGCACCTGTTTTTTCCTCCTCATTTGAAAAGTAAAGCTATTAAACCTTATTCCTTACTCAGTACAGCCTGTAAAAGTGATCGGCCATCCGGTAGGAGAGTCCATACTTGGCCATTTAGGATGAGTTTAAAAATTCTGACTGATGTAAACTGAAGCAACCCTTTGCTGTTTTTTTTATCTTCAGGAGCCTCCCAACACAAACCGCTATGCGGTGATGAGCACTCGCCTCTTGCACACCAATCTGGCAGTGGTCCACTACAGCGTCTTCTTCCAGATGTGTCGAGCTCATGGCATTGGATTTGACATCAAGGTAAGTAGGAATGTACCGTTAGACACCAGCCTTTCATGTATGTGCCTATCAGACAGGCTCTCATATCATGTGTGCTTGTGTCTGTCGAGGAGGAAAGGCAATAGTTTGTAATGTACATGTTACTACCTTGGATGAAGTCTGGAACACAGTTGAAGTAGCCCGGTGGCCCACAAAGCTCAGCTTGTCTCCCAAAAAGGAACCCCCAAGCTTTTAGGTTGAACATTTAGGCCAATAAATTTTACGCACTGGAATAATGATGTCATCTTACACAACATTATCTTGAGGAAAGAAACTCTACAAATGTCTAAAATTGCTTCAAATTCCACTCACAAAAAAGTAGTCCGTGTGCTCACAAATGCACCAGACCTTGAATCCAAATATCGGGGGGAGGGGGGGTTGGTTCTGAAGTGACCTCTGAAGCACCATGCAGAAGCTTTGTTTCCTCCCGTCCTTTCAGTATTCTTTATCAGTCCCCACCAAGTTTAAAATTTAGAACGTAGAGAATATATCAAGAGGAAAATTATTCAGAAGTGAAAAATACCAGTCACATTCTTTTATTTCTTGGCTACACCCTAGGAGAAGCAAGGCACAGCTTTCACCCTGATTGACAGCTACAAACGGGAGGGGATTGGTATGTTGTCTGTAGGGGAGGAGCTACAAGGAACACTAGCTACTTTTGCCCGCAACCTGTCGGTCATTCACCAAGAGATATCTGCACCCAACATGCAGGGCCAATCCAACTTCCAGGTGAGGAATAGGAAGATATCTTTTAACCAAGGACCTCTGCAAGTTTTGTTGTACTTCATAGTTGCCAGTGTCTTACAAAGTTTTTCCACCTGGGTTCAATTTCATGTTGCTGCCTAGCACACAATTTAATGATAGAGGCCCCTTGAATTTAATGGAGACCGTAAGCAGTGAGAAAAACAAAAGGCATGCTTACCTGGGAGGAAATATTTGTTTAGTTTGTAATCTGTACATGCATTTAACCATATAAGGACAACCAGGCCAAGCTCCACCAATTCTTTGGCTGTAGTAAGCATGACTTTTCAGGTAGCTGTCAGGCAGTTCTGTGAAATTGGGCCTTGATGATAGTTTTTTTAAAAAGGATTTAACGTCAAAAGTTTTTATCTGTAAAAATTTGCAGAAAATACTTACATATGTTGCTGTTCTAAGCCCAGTAGCAGAACAGGATTCTATCTCAAACAGCCCAGAAGCATTAATCCACTTGCCACGTCTTTTATTTCCACTGGAAGTTGTGAAATAAATCCTTTTAAACAGGACTTCTCCAATTTCCATCTGTTGTTTTTCTTTTTGTAAGAGTTGGAAAGGCCTGATTATTCAATCCCAGAGATTTCTCTGGAAGACAGGATAACATCAGAACCACCCGTACACTCTGTGTATTCTCTATATTTCTGGTCATTCTAGTTTGTAAAAGGTTTACAGCAGCGTCTCTGTTGTTGTTGCTTTTTTTCTCAGGCTGCAATTGAAGATATTGAGGGGATTTTGGGAACAACAATCCAAAATATGGATCGACCGGAAGAGGAGCAAGCTGTCTAATGCTGACAAGAAGAGTCAGGAAAGCAACACAGAAAACCCTTTGGAAACTCTGTTGCACCATTGGAAACCCATAGTAGCAAACCCATAGCAGTGTATGTTCATGGGATCTTGTGCGGGAATATGAAAACTTGATGGAAATGCCGTCAAAAATCCCATGGGACTTCCACATGGGAAAAGAGGAAGTTATAGGAAAAGTGTGTCAAGGTCTATTTCTCCTCTCTCGTGTTATTGCGGTGCCTTCTCAATTATGCACATCACATGGCTACATTGGAGGATCACACCTGGGAAGATGCTTTGGGATCTAGCTCAGGTGTGAATCTTGCCCTTTTATTGCTCGGTACATTTGGTAAACAATGTAAATTTAACCCCGTGGGCAGCAGACACTTGAATGACATTCATATTGTGGGACATGTATGCTCAGGGTCCTCCTACCATGCAGTGACATGCTTTTGTACACATTCCATTGAAAGTTTGCGAGTGTTCCACTTCACATCAGAACAGGAACACATGTACATGTATTCTAGTTTCCATGCGTCATTGTTGTAAGCCTCACGGTGCCACCTGTACAATTCCTCTGTGCACTCCACATGTATTGCTCCTGTGAAAATGCTACCAAGATCCTCTCATAATTGTCCAAGCAACCTGTGCCAGGGTTGCAGTGCAGTCAACAACTGTTTTCATCAGGTGAAGTTGATGGTCACAGTTCAGTACAAAAGTTGCTCTCTGCAAAGAATTGCAGTATTCTTTCCCAAGAAAGGCTAGGTAAACTTGATTAACAGACTCGCATATTACATGTTCTCGGTAGAGTTTGTAGAAAAACTCATTCAGTTATTTCAACATAACCATGCAGCCTGCTTTCCACCCATTTGTGACAACTGCCAACATAGTTTTTTCCCAAATCACTTGCTTCCACTTCCACTTCAACTTCTGACCACCATTGAACAACTTTTATATACACTTAAGTTTGATACTTGTCTTCCTGTGTGCTGATTATAACCACTGTAAATTTGTAGAAAACTCAATTTTTTTGAAATATCTTAATTTGTACAGATGGTGTATATCTTATCTGCAGGAGCATTCTGCCCATCTCTGGAATTGTAAATACTAAATTATTCAATTTGTCTGTATATTTGGTATTCCTGTTAATTATTGCTATGCACTTAAAGTCGAAAATAACTGAGTGTTCTAGAACCTTGTTGACTTCCCAAAAGGGTAATGTTCACTTTCTAAAGACACTAGGTCTCGCCCAACCAAAGAACCAAATGCAGTTTTTCTTAGCCACATAAAAACAATTTTGCGTCCAACAAGTAAAATTGAAAAGAGGGTAAATACACGTAGAGGGATCAGTGTTCAGACTTTTCAGATCATCTATAAAAAGTATATTAACCTTTCCTGCAGTAACAGATTTTCACAACTTGACGTTCAGTGTGATTGCAAATTTTATTGGCTCAAATATTGGCATCAATAGAAATAGACTGTACATGGTATTTGTGTTTTCACAGTTTGATGAAGACCAACTGTCATGGAAAAATACATGCAGGTCTGTTTGGCCCGACAATCATAACTGCAAATGTCATAAAGCAGAAATAAATTCACTGGAAAACAATCACAGTCTTTGGCTTAGTTCTTTTTAACAGTTGAGTTCAAAATAACTTCAACAAAGGATGAAATCATTGTCAATTAAAGCGTTGTATAAATCTTCCTCTTTTATGCAACAAAGGAACTGAGAAATGGAAACCATAAGATCGGTGGTTTCTCACTTCGATCACACAGAATTCACCACGCATATTGAAATCACCTTTCAGTCATGCCAATGAATACAAAACACAATTCATAAAAAAAATGATTTTAAGAAAGGTAAATTTGCACTCAAAACCTAAAGCCCTACTATTTCCCAAAATTAAGTGGTTACAAATCCACAAAGACCTTTTGTCTACTACGGTCACGCTTGCTGATTGAATAACTGGTAAAATATTGTGCAACTAAATTGCTAACTAAATGTAACTGGCAGGCTATTTACAAGGCTTTTTTGTCACCCTGCAAACGTTGTTGCTTTCTGGAAGTAGTTTTATTCAAGTTGCTAAACTTCTGCTTGTCATTCCTACAATCAAAAGACAAAAAATGGGCATTCATGAGCAAAAAGGAAACAAGTACAGGATTCTTTTTTTCTGGACATGTCTAACTTTTCTGAATCCCAAATAACTACATTGTAGCTCTGTTGACGAAAAACATGTTTTTCAACACCATTCAAACTGATTCTTTGTTAAAAGCCACGGGGTACAAATCAATAAATAATGCAGGTATGTCTACTGCACTGGATTATGCGGTTAATTTCTGAAAAGAGAAATTCCTGCTTCATCACACGACAACAAAAAATATGCCCCAGTTAAGATGACTATTCTTGCGTATGCCATAAACTTCCTGTGTTTAGATCCATGTATTTGTGGGGTTTTTCCCATTTTTTGTAGTATGGTTGTATGCACACAAATTTTAAATGAGTAACTCATGGAGTACAAGAGATCACGGCACAAACGTTGATTGCAACACTGTCAGGCAGGTGAGTGACAGTACTTCGCAATTGTTTGATTGCTTGATCATTTAAAGTGTGTTCGGCAGGGGACTGTGGTTTCGTATCTGGTAAACAAGTGCCCTCTATTGACATTTCCCTCAGAGTATTGAGCGAAAAAGAGGTTTGTCAGACATACCTGTTCATCTTGATCTTGTTGCGGCATCCTGTGCCGCCCTCCCAATGAGATGTCCGCCCCTTGGTGGTAAGCGACTGGCAGGAGATACAGGGCTTGTCAGGGATGTGTTGCTATCAAGAGAGAGTAAAATACACCTTTAACCACTTGCCGCCGGGGATTCCGGTTTCGGACACGTATTCTTTATACGCGTGGCCGGGGTCTCCGAAATTGGACAAAGGGAACTGGGCCTTGTAACAAAAGACCATACTCGTAATAAAAGACCAGGCTGGTGGGATTTAGTAACATTTTTTTCACTCTCAATAGTGGAGATAATCCAGCCTTGTTTTCAAAGAGTATACAACCGTTTCAGGCATTCACCGCAAGCGGATTACCACCGGGGACAAAAGCACTCTACCACCGCAGCAATGAGCCACACAATACCACTGCAGGCATCTGGCCTGTATAAAAATAGGTCAGCAGCGCACTGTGCCAGTTTTGTGAACAAAAGAAAATTATTTAACAACGCAAAATCTGGGCTCTTTTTACAAGGCGGTAGGCCTGGCTGAAATACTCCAGCGTCAATAGATGTTGTCAGATTAGAGTAGAAACCAGACAGTCCTTTGTTAGGGTGTAAGTGCCAGTAAATGAGGATATGAATTTTTAAAGAATTTTGAAAACAGAAAAAAATGATAATTATCCCATCCCAGCATCATCAACATTGATAAACGCCACCGGAGCGAAATGGTTAACTCATCAGCCACCAACAGCTTGTGACACAGACACAATGAATGGGTGTGATATGCTGTTTTTTAACACGTATATGAAAACTAAGGTGGTAGGTGCTCATGCGGAAGCTAAAAACCATACCACCAGTATTGCAAGCTTTGAATCACAACAGTCAAGGACTTGTTATATCATGCTAAACAAGTCAAAATGATAAATGGTTCCAATATGTCATAAGACAAATGTCCAACACACATGACGCTCAATCACACTGCTGTTACCACAGCCTAGTGAGGACCCCCGGCCAACTGCCCAACTTCCCGTTTCAGATAAGCCTATTCAATCCGAGTGAGACCAAATTGTCACTTCAAATTTTCACTTCAATTTGGTAGGATTTCAATGCACGCCTACACTGGTTGTTACGCATTTGATGCAGCAGGCAATGAACGTGCATCACCCATTTGAACAAATGTGAAGTTCAACGCAATCTGAATTATGATTTCTTTGTTATGGCTGTTTGAAGTTCAAGGCCACCTGCCTGTCGTCCTGCATGGGGCGAGCACGTCAATAGGAAATTATACATTTTGGGCTGACCTGTCTCAGAAAAATAACTAGTGTGGAAGAACGGTATGCCGGATTTTCACAAGCTTGATTTCAAAATGACTGCAAGATATTATTGAAAAAAAAAAAAACTGAATGGTCCATGCGTGCAAAAGTTGCACTCCGACGGTATCAGAAAAATTGCCGAGGAGCATCCGTCTCATGGCTCCTCCAGGGTTTACTAAGCCAAACAGCTCCCTCTATAGTGCATGCCCACAGCCATCACCTTACCTGCTCCTTACAGCAGAACCCACATATTATCCGCGTGGCGTACTTCATCTCGTGGTCGGGCTCGTTGTCATCGTGGCACTCGTCGCACGGGTAGCACTTGCCACAACAGGGGAATCGGAACCAACGGAAGCTCTTGCGGTAGTGTTTGCAGGTGCCATTGTCTGGTAGCGGCTGGCCCTCATGGATGTCTGGGTGCACCTGGTTCCGCAGCTGTTTCACTTGGATCACATGGGCCTTCTGGCCAGCTGTACGGAGAGCAAAACCATCAATGAACAAAACTGATAGGCAAAACTTTCTCCAAGATTGGAATGCCCTCAGCTCTACAAAACCGACAAATTTACTTCCGCAAACAAATTTGAGCAGGATCAAATAGTTTCCCTCTTTTTAGGGAGGAACGTTTTGCTTGATAAAAATAAATCAATTATTTGTCATCTGTTATCCTTATTTCAGACGGCATTAAGACATAGCTCTATTTTGATGACATTATTGTAATGGCATCTGTAGTATCTCAGATCATTCACAATTTCTTCACATAGAGATGAACCTCTCTACCAAAAATCTTCAATAAGTTGCTAAAGTGTCATGGAATTGGAGAGAGCTCACCCCAGCAGCAAAGCACATGTACAATGTTTACTAGTAAGTGTTAAAAGCACAATATTTATATGCACATCAACAACATCAAGTTATGATGATTATCGATAGAAAGGCAGGTTAACAATGCTAGCATTAGTCAGCTCCAATATTCCAGCAGAGAAAAGCACAAAAAAACAGCATGCGTATATGAGGTTGATCCTGTCAACATGGCCTTGCATATACATGTACCTATAGAACATGTTCGAACCAGCATGACACAGGGTACTTGGTTTTCAAATGTCTCTGTCTTTTTAAGACACCAAATCAGCTCGTTCAGTGCATGACAAGAATTCCTGTACCAGGTATTACTTCTTACCTTGTGTTTCCATGGCTTGTACTTGGAGCTGATGGAATCTTGCCGTCTCCAAAAACACAGTCATCTTTGTATGGCATTTTTCACACCATGTTGTTCTTGTTTGACCAAACTGCATTCCCTGTTATAATTCAAGACAAACAGTTGAGATAACTATCTACTGCCAGCATCATTTACAAAAATCTGAGTGGGAGTTTAGTTTGAAGATGAGCAAGACATTGAAACTGATTTCTTAAATACCTGTACTTTAGTTTCTTCAGAGCAATGGAGGCATCCGAGCAGAAACTCGCATTGGGAGAGGATGAGGTCAAAGGTCGAGCAGCCTTCGAGGTCCAGGAACCCCAGTGTTGCTGTGAAGTGATGTATGAGGCTCTGCCTGTAGGTAAGCAACTGTTGATGTTGGCATTTGCCGCAGCGGGCCATGTTGACTCGCTTGGGGGGCGTGACGATATCACAGTGGTTCTTGCAGCGAGCGCACTGAATGGTGACCCCGATCAGGGTCGCCACCAAGGTCGAGACACTCTCTGAGAGCTCGATCTGGCTGAACTTGATCTCAGTCCCTCGACGCTGGACATTGAACAAGTCGGCATACCTGTTGAGTTTGTCTTCAGATGTGGCATCAGTGTCCAGTTTACCATCATTCGCCCTGCTGGTTTCTTCAGGGCGAGTGAGCCTGTTGACTGTATCAGCTGAGGGTGCATCCCCTGCAGTCTCTCGATTATGGTCAGAAGTTTTTCCTTTAGTGACAATCACTCCCTCTGCTTCCACAGGATGATTGACATCACAGTACTGTGTAATATCTCGAGGTTCAGGCGGTTTCTGCTTAGCGTAGGGTACAAATTCTATGCCTGCTGCCTTGGCGTCAACAACTTTTTTGAACTAGAGACAAAAAAATTGGAAGCAAAACAAACAAGAGACTAAAAACTTTAAACTTGTTTACATGTAAGCTTTTAATATGAATCAAACATTAGGGGCCAGTAGACATGCTACAAGCGTCGGGGATCTGTACGAGGCTAAAAAAAAAACGAGGCTCAAAAAACGAGTGATTACATTGCAATTTTGCATGGTTATTTTATCCCGTACACAGTAAGCAATGTGCATTTCGCATTAGTGTGCTTGCGTATACATGCATCGGTTTCTGAAACAACTTAAAATGGTTATTTCCTGGCCCCATGTGTATCCCGCATTGTCCTTTTTCTGAAACCTTCATGAATGTTGCGTAGCAGTTACAACCACGTTCAGACTTTGGACATGTCCTGTATTTACATATATGCTTAAGCTTGAGTTCACTTTTGAAAAACACTGCACATTTTTTGGTTCCAATTTATAAATGGGATTTCTATTTTGAATTGTGCCTGTCAAATGAATTCTTCTCTTACCTGTTTGGCTGCTTCAGTGAACAATCTCTCCAGACTTCGGTCCAGCCATCTCAAGAATGGTCGAAACATCAACTCTACTTTGCCCGCGATTTGATTGGTGCCATGCCTGGCTAGAATCCATTCCTCAATGCTCTCCTTCATGTGACTAGAGCAAAACAGAAAAGCTTTCATAAAAATATCAAACAGAGAATGTAGCCCATGAGCAGTAACGTGGCATTTTCACAGGATGATGGACACTGTGTTTTGTGTAAATTTAGGTTCTATGACTAGAAATTACTTGGTGCATATGTGACCTGTCATCACAAAATGAGCTGACAGTTAGAATTTTGCAAAAATTGAGATATTAGTATTCTTGAATTCTGCAGAAAGAGAGCTTTCCAGTGGTACATACATGGAGCACTTAGGGTAGAAGTATAAGGTGACCATGTGGCATTATTCTGGCAGCTTTGCGTCTTCGTTCCAGACATAGTTTCAACATATCTGACCAGGCACGAATAATGCTATCATCAAAATTGCTGAGAACATGACATTTTTAAATATAAAGTATAATCCTGCGAATAATTTGGGATTAAATAGGAGACGGGTTAATACTCTTTCCAAATAGTACAAAATCCCACAACAGACCACCACTTCAATATCATGTTCAACCCTCAAAATAGGAAAGAGCAGGATGCAATTCCAATCTCATTTTGTCCTGAAGGATCATATATGGAAGCCCTAGCCTTAGGCTACTTAAAAATGTTATGGCTGAGACTGGAAATAACACGTGTAACAATACGTACATTGTAAGCCGCTAGCTACATGTACATGTAATGGCAGAAGTTACTTTCCACATGGGCATGTATTTATCCAAGCGACAGCCTGTTGATTTAGACATCGGCCGGAAACCCGACCTCACTGAATAAAAATCAGGCAAGAGCCTCAAAGCTGCTGACTTATCATTGGCTGCTGTGCACAAAAAGTCTTCTCTGATTGGCTGAGCTGGTGGATTTTGATTACAAGAGGGTGATTTTATTATTTGTTAGTACTTAGATTTTTAGGAGGAGGTTTTGAAAGTTTTCTTTCATACTTACGTTAGCACTGCATTGGGCAGCACTTGATCTTCTGGCATTGAGACTACGAAAGGATCCGCCGGGTAGCTGGCAGAAAACATTAACTCAAACTCAAAGTCTGTGATGTCAAAGGGCTGCCAAGAAAAAATAAAAATGATGAAGAAATGAAGAAAAGTTACTTGAGGGCTAAGAAAAATGTGGTGGCTCGTGTCCTTACCGGATGGAACTCTAACAATCCAACCAAGGGAACAACATTTTGCATTTGCATCTTGGCATGAGAAGGACACGTACATGCACACGAGTTAAAGAAATACTGTATACATATGTAATGCATGTGCATCAGTCAAATTCAGTGTACATGTATGGGTGAATATGTACAGCTGTATTTAACAGTGATGTTTAGTATTGCAGCTGTTACATGTATACTGGGGCAACCTTCCCTGATCGAACCTTTACAACATTTATCACAGACCAAATACATGTACTGTACAAGCATCTGGGGAAGAAAATTCCACAGGGACTGGACTCTTATTTCCCTGCAGTGACCAATTAGCCCTCTGAAAGCAATAAAGTTTCCGACCAAGTCAAATGTAGTGGTAAAAATGTTGAGGTATTCACTTACATGTAGAACATGGAATTTTTCAGACCGGTTTCATACATGTAGGGTTGGTGCACAGGGTGTCAAAAAGCGTCTTTCCCATTTGGGAACTGAAGCCAAATTTACACTAAAAGTACCTTACATCAACACTAAAAGTGCCTTACAGAAACAGTACCTTACATCAACACTTAAAATACCTTACATCGACACTAAAAGTACCTTACATCAACACTAAAGGTACCTTACATCAACACTAAAAGTACCTTACATCAACACTTAAAGTACCTTACATCGAAAGGCTATCAATTGCTCTGCATCATATGCATGAGGAACAGTGCAGACCCCAGAGTAGTGTTACCGGCACTTTGATTACTGAAGCTAATGCTGTGCTTACCCAGTCTGGGTCTGTGGGGCTAACGGTCACTCTGAAGACACTATCTGCTCCTTCCGTTTCCACTTGGGTCATCCGATCGGCTGGGAATCTCTTTATCAGTTGAGCAATCTCCATTTCTCTGAGCTGCAGCATGTCTTCCTTGCCAAGGTCTGCGATCTTCATGCTGACGGCTTTGTCTCGAATGGGGTCTGGCCGTGGCATTGCCGGCCTGGACTTGACAGGCTCACATTGGGTAGAGGCATCAGATCCCAAAGAACCCTCAACCTCTGGATGCAAGAACTTGCATCGATCTCCCGTGCTGCAATGCCCGGCCTTGAAGTACCGACACACTTTCTTCGGCTTTTCTTTCTTCTTTGTTTCACCCTCGGGCTTTCGGTTGGATGTCCCGTCTTGGGTAACATCTTCAGGATTTTCTTCACTGGCACCTTTGGATGTATCAACTTCGTCTCGGTTTGATGACAGCTCTGCTTTCACCCTCTCATGGAGGAATCTGCATCTCTTACCGTTGCGGCACCAGCCAGAGCGGGCAAAGAAGCGACAGATCTTCTGCTCTGCCTCCTCAGCGGCTGGCAACTTCTCTCGAGATGCTTTTGGCAGTGGGTCTTGTTGGTGATCCCCTCCAGCCCCAGTCTCTGCTGCAGATCCCTCCTCCCCCTGGGCTGTTGATGCGATCTCATGGGCATACTTGCATCCGTCTCCATAGCGACACTTCCCAGTTGTTTTAAAGAAACGACACTGGGGTACTTTCTTGCCTGCTGAAGCAGCTTTAATTTCCTTATTTGGTTCAGCTGCAACCGTGTCCCCTGTCAGAGTACATACATGTAAGTGAAAAAACTTTTGTCACCACTTACAGATTCATTAAACTTTTCAATAAATGTCCCAGATAACATGGGAAGTACTTTTCCATCTCTACTGAATACATGTATAAAGGACAAAACAGAACTTTAGTCACCAATTGACAATTTTCCAATATAGGCTCACAGATTGTAAGTAATGCAGAAAGCTTTTTTCTATCCTTGGTTAAATGCATAAAATGTCACTTGCACAGTGGAGGACAACCTTTACACCCGATTATTTTTTAAGCTTTATAGATTTTTCTTTTTTTACCGTCTTGTTTTGCCAAGCGAGAGTCTGTGCTTTGCTGGCTATCTTCAGTGCTGCATGAAATCGTAGCTTGCTGGAGCTCTGGAGCGTGGTTGCTGTCACTTTGGGATTCTACATCTGACATGTCTCTAAATGTTTGCAGCGGAAGCGGTTGTGTTTTTAATGCCACGATGTTTGATAAGGAGTCCCACCAAAAACCTGTAAGGGGATGAAACACATTTTTGTCCCATTAGCGGGAAGTGTCCTTCCTTACAAGTCATGCAAGTTTGCCTAAAAAAACTGAAAGTAGTGACTTAAGGTTAAAGTGTTTAGTTCAAATAGTCACTTTTTCCTTCCCTTGTTTACACTGGAATAGTTGAAAGCATCCATGGCAAAAGTAGCCTTTAAACGAGGACACTTTGAACGTGTTGAAACTACCAACTTGTGGTGAGGCATGGTACATGTGTAGGCCTACGCAGGCACATGTAAGGCAACTGGCATGCTTCTTCAGTAAATCAGTACGAGCTCCAGGTGCCTGACACATCGGCAACGAGTAAGTTGACGAATGACACTACAAGTCATGGCACGGGGAGTCTCTCCCACTTCCAGGGGGGTTCCTAGGGCTGGAGTTAGAGACACGTGGGCCCATTCAAGTTATATTAACTGACAATATAATTAACATTACAACTGATAACATGTAGTTTACTTTCTTATGTAAGCTACTCTTGTACTGTGCCATGCGGTGCTTCCTTTGGATACTAACTACTGCTTGCATGTACATGTAAGTCATCTAAGCATGCACATGTATCTCCTTGAGTTCTTTTCTCATCCCCTTATTCAAGGGTTTACATTCTGTTTGCGTTGGTTTTTTATCCATTACTTAGAATGTCAGTTTTCCTTATTCCCGAAACCAGTTCTGATTTAGGATTTTTGAAAATTCCACCTGATCTCACCTTTTGATTAGTTTATGAGTTTTGCATTGCCTTGGCATACTTGTTTGTCACTTCACCATGCTGACGCTGTTAGTTTCTTCATTATTTAAGTTAGCCAAGTTAAAGAACTTTATTACTGCAAAAGTAGTGATTTACTGGCTAAATTACAGAGTTCAAATCAAGTCAAGAGCGGCTTGACCACCAGTTGGGAATTATTAAATATGAGATAACCAGCCACACTTCATGGAGGACGGATCAGGGTAAAATAATGAGGTTGTCTTCGAATCGAGGCACTGTGGTTTAAATGCTGATCACGTCGATCATCGGGCCTACATATACATGTAGGTCGAGTTCGGGCGGCCTGCTCTTGACACGGGTTTCTTGTTCTCACGCTCGAACGGTGAGAACACGACTCAATAACACTGTTCTCGGAACCGGATCACACACCACCTCCTCATCAGGGTTTTACAGGAACACACAGAAAAACTTGTGATATTTTGATTTTTTAACAGCTGCAAAAAGTAGAGAGATGGCTTCCAAAGCCATAGACAATGGGAAGTTTTGCAAAATTAACATTAATTATTTTCCGTAACACAGAAATGAATGTTCCTGTTTGTATAGAAAAGAATTCAACCCATCCAAACATTAACGCTCGAATAACGTGGCAGTACATGGACGCTGCCATGTTGCTTGTCACTATACCAGCGACAACCGGTTGTTAGTTCCCGGCGTTCGAGCGGCCGACCACGAACAACAAATCGAGCTGTTCGTGAACATACATGTACAGGAACAAGCCGCCCGAACTCGGCCTTAGTGACTTACCTAGTGTGTCAATGGCCTGCTGCTTGTGGCGCTGTCGGGGTCACTACGTCAAGTTCGGTCGAGTGTGCTACAGCACAGCCCTGCTACCCATAAAATGTCCTTCCTCCCCGCTTAAATACCGTGGACCTGCACTAGCAATGGATTGCAGCCTGTGATGCAATCCTATCTAGATTGGCCGATTGTTCGCAGTTGTGCCTTAGTCAAATTGCAGATGGTGGTGCAACATGGAGTAGTATGGTGTACTATTTACGACAAACATTTTTCTCTCTCTCTTTCTCTTGCCTCCCTACAGGCGACGCAACCAGACGACGCGACGGCACGGCGGCTCCCTTGCCGTCGCCCGTCGCGTCGTGCTGTCTTAGGTCTTTTCCTAGTTGCATTTTTTTCTGCCTAAACGCCGCCCCTTCCGTCGCCCGTCGCGTCGTGCTTTTGTGCGTCGCGTCGTGCGTCGTGTCGTGCATCGTGTCGCCTGAAGCACGATGACGCACGACGTGACGCGTCGTATGCTGTCGCCCTTTACTTCATAGTGTTTATAGAGGGCGCCTTTACTGTTTTCTTTCATTTCCGTCCACCTTTCTTGCAAAGTACATGCAATTCGCTCTTTGGTGTTGATTTTACATTGTTTTATCTCATTGATTCATTAATTGGGATTAATTTCTGTCATATTTTATTGAGAAAAATGATAAAAGAGCAAAAGAAAATCCGAATATGTAGGAACTGCTCTCTCAAAATAAGTGGAAACCGCAAGCTCAGAATTCGTCACTCCTAAATTTCCCAACCAATGATTTCTTTTGTTTTCTCTCATTTCTCAGTGTCCATCGCGCTTGCAAAATACATGCCCTGAGCCGCAGGCGTTGATTCTTTTTTTTTGGGGGGGGGTTGTTTCATCCATTCATCGAATTTAATCGAAAAGAAATGAAAATGAGCAAAAAGAAAATCTGCGTATGCCGGTGCTCTCACATAATAAGTGTAAGCACAGAATTTGTCACTTTTTAATTTATCCTTGTTCGAATGTCCGTCCAATGTCTTTTTAAGACCGTTGATGATGTTCCCATTTGTGGTAGATTTGTAACCTTATAAATATTTCTCTGTGGTTCATGCCAGCAGTTTCCAAGTAGTTTTCCAACTCCTCTAGACAATTTTTCTACAGTTGTGCGACCGCAAGTTTGACCACGCCACGGGCTTCGGTAGTTACCACCCAGCTTGCACTATATTATGACTCTCAGAATATTCAGTCTTCAGTCTTCCTTCAGTTTAGTCTTCCTCGTTAACTTCATCAGCACCACACTTTCAATGATATCAGTCCGTGTTTCTTAATAAACACTGTAGATCCTACTACCATTGTGACATTGTCTTTTCTTCCTCTCTGTTTGGCCTCGCGCTTAATTTCTCATCAGATCCGCATGTTACATTTTTGCAACCACGTAATAATGATTGATGTATTGTATCTTAGAATGGATTTACAATAATTATTAGAAAAGTCACAATTAGATCAGGAAAGCTAAAACATTGTTGTGGCTGACGTTAATGTTCAAGTTATATATTTCCTGAAGACAATACTGATTAGTCGCGAAGCTCCTTCTGATTAAATTTGATTTAAAAAAAACAAAAAGACTTTTCTTCAACAACTCACTCTTTATGAAAACACAAAGTTAGAAAGAATCCACGAAAAAGAACAACAGAATTAAGGCCTGGTACCTATGGCATGTACTGTACAAGCACGGGCCGGGGAAAGGAAATGACAGTAAAGGCGCCCTTTATAAACACCATGAAGTAAAGGGCGACAGCACACGACACGTTGCGTCGCGTCGTGTCGTGCGTCGCGACGGGCGACGGAAGGGGAACGTTTAGGCAGAAAAAAATGAAACAAGGAAAGGACTGAAGACAGCACGACGCGTGTGTGTACAAACGAAATTGCAACTGAAGAAGGCGACGGTTCGTCCCGAAAGCACGACACAAGAGAGCTGTCGTGCCCTCGCGTCGTCTGGTTGCGTCGCCTGGGGGAGACAAAAGAGAGAGAGAGAGAGAGAGAGAGAGAGAGAGAGAGAGAGAGAGAAATGTTAATAGTACACCATAGAGTAGACTTGCATTCAAGTCGGTTCATTGTGTCTTGTCGTGACCGCGTACATGTTACACGTAAAACGTAGACTCGTACCCAGTCCCTCCCTCATCATTTGGGATATAAAAAAATTATGGGAGCGCCAATGTTCAGCAGCTTTGGTGTTTTACCATGGCATAGAATGTCTGAATGAATAAAATCCTGTCACCAGTCATGATTGGTGAACAGTTATGATCGAGTGTGGCACTGTTGCTGCTATTTTCTTGAGGTAAAAGATTAATTATTAATTCGTCCACTCGGCTTGGATTCGCTCTCTGGAATGAAGCATTCCATCAGTCACTGTTCGCGAAAATAACACAGCTCTAACTTACAACATTTGTTTCTTGCTGTAACAGTTGGGTTTTCCATCGGAACCATTGTATTTGTGGGCATTCATTATCTTGTACTATACTAATTCAAACAACTTGCCACCGAAATCTATGTATTAATTGAGTCATCAACTTGCCACCGAAATCTATGTATTAATTGAGTCATTCCGTAGGTATCGTTGTTTATATTATGTTCAATTTAATTAAATGCAACGTTGTTTAATTGCATCGAATGTATGTACTCACGTCCACCTCGAGGATCTGGTTTTGTCAGTGCACGGGGGATCACCAGTCGTGTGGTCTGATATCGCGGAGCCCGAAACTAGGTTTTAGCAGAGTTGTATCCAGCCACTGTAGTACGGTGACTTTTGTGAGTAAAGTTGGCATTGTTAACATAGTGACTGGAGTCGAGTCTAGCATTTGTCCAGACTGAGTTATTTCAACACAATATGATAAATAACAAGAAGAGAGAAAGTCATTTTTGGCACCGTCAATTTACCTCTGGGTTTCTACATCTGGTCACCCCACTTACTCGTGGTGATATAAGTACACGAAATGAACATTATAAACCGGCATTGTTGAAGTAATTTCAATTTTTTTCGCAAAGAAGTTTGCTTTTGGCACTTGCACTTGAGTTGACTCTTCTGATGAGGGACTCGAGTCGAGTCGCTAAATACATGTACTGTGACTGTGGAGTCGGACGCGAGTCGAATCACTGACTCGAGTCATCACAACTTGCTGGATATGCTAACGACGACACTCATTTTTTTTCCTACACGTTTCTGGACAAATTCAATGAACATGCTATTAATGCTGTTCATAACATTCTGAAAAGACACCGTTCACTATGAGCTCGAGCTTGACCAACAGAGGGCGTAATCTCCTAACAACGGAGGTTCATTTGCCTTTGGTCGGAACTTCGCTGCAGCTGCGCAGCTGGTTCCAGGACGATTATGAAATACACGGGTGGCGTTGCTACCGGCAAAACGAACACTCCCGACCAACTTGGCTCTATTCAGCAGATGAGGGGGTGCTTCTACTCAACGTGGATACTGAGAGGTTTTCTGAACAACTGTGAATCAAACACTTTCTCCCAGTGTAAATAGTTATGCGAACAATTTTGTTCACAATCCTCCTGTCATGACCCTGAAGAACTAAAAGGAAAGACAACAGAATGTGCACAATTCTGACAACATTTGGTCCTGAAATAACTCTAAGAATTCTATTATTCGTCCTGCGATGACGTCGTACACGTTACCTTGTAAAAATGGAAAACTGCATTATCGCCAAAGAGCTTAAATTGCTCCCAAATATCCTTTAAATGGCAGAACAAAGCTAAAGGGGGTTGAAATATTTTCGAGGATATGGCCTATTACTCGAAAAAAAAATTTATATGTGTCGCTCAACTTTGAGGTCACTAGTCTCTAGATCAAGCCTTCCTCCAAACTAACCTCACACCCATCAACTCGTGGCTTGCCAGTGATGATTATCAGTCATGTTCGACAAATTTTACACACGAGATTCAATGCCTAATCCAAAAGTCATCAGCCCATTAAGAGGTTGTTTGGAAGAACACTGAGAGGCAAAAACTATGTATTTTGCACCAGATTTCCAAAAACAATTTACATTATCGAGCTTTTACACGGCAGGGTGAAAACGTCATGACAGATATATATCGGTCTCCGACGAAGAAAATATTAAGTGTTCAGCCATATGGGCGCATCGAGTTGCCAAACAATGACCATCTGCATATACAAATATCTGTAGATATCTGATATAAACTGATTCAGATTGATGTATGCCTATTATTTTATTCGGAGGTGGGGCGATATTGTAAACTTTTCTACAAAAGTGACCAACCGAGGACGCAGAAATGCATCTCGCGCGACAAGGGAACACTACAGATAAAAGGCGAGCAGTGAGCACGAAGCATAGAGCCCTAAAGGTGCGACGACGTCGTAGAGAACAGGTTGCTACATTCTTGACGGGGTTTTCCTCAGAATTCTTTCATGATGCTTCGTTTCATCTGTTTGTTCCTGGCGGGAGGAATTCTTTCCACCGAGGCAATGCATACACCCAAAGGTACGTACATGTGCATACATATGCAGAGATTAAGGTTCAGGAGCTTCTATTGTCACTACTCCGTGTGACTTGGAGCAATTGTTATCTAACACGACGATTGCATGTTTGTTTCAGTTATGAAAGAAACACTTCAGAGTCATGTGTTCTGGAAAAATTCAAGACTCAACTTAAGACCAAAGAAAAATTCTACTGAAACACAGTACGTTAGCGGATTTGGTCACAGTTTAGGAAATAAATGGCAAAGTTTTAAATTTCATCTTATATAATGGGTGGGGGGTAGATCAGAGCACAGGCCGGGGAGGGGCTAGTGCACATTTGGAGATAAATTGTCGGCTTTGAAAAAAACCAACATTATTCCTCTTCAGCTTTGCACAAAGACGTGAGTCAGTTCATGGAGATCCCGTGTCCCAACTCCCCGTGGATCGACTTTGCATACTTCTACCTCTCTGAGGACGGCTACGGAAATTCCGGATGCGACTACTATATGGAGTTGGACCTTCGGACCAAAGTGGAAGAGTTCTGCAAGCGGAGTCCGGGGCCTTGCTCCTTCAAGTTGGCGGAGGTGCTCGGTCAGGAACCCGATCACTCTTGCGTCAGTTCCTTCGATGTCGGCTACCTCTGCTTCTAGGTAGGAAGCCCGAGTTCTCAGTTTGTAGTGCGGAACTTTTTTTTCTTTTTCTAAAGATCGTGAAAAGGGCGTGTTTGACTGTGTTAAGTTGTAGTCGAGATGTCTATACCATACCACAAGACCAAGGCCAATCCTCGAGCTAATGCGTGTGGCAATCAGGTGTTTTTTTTTCAAATTTATTTCTTTCTCTCGGGACAACGATGGCGGGTTATTTACTTTCCAAATATACGGACTGAAAAATTTTCTCCCTGAGTTTCTGACAAAGTCAGGCGCTTCCTGAAATTTCAATCTTGCTCCAATGGGGACTTTTTAACGACCAAAAATTCTGCCAGCGGCAGCATGCTGGGTCACTAACAAAGGGGGGAGGGGCAGCTATTGCACGCCGAAGAGAATTTATTCGACCGTGCACGCCGTCAAGGTTTTAAAATGCACAACAACATTTCTTTAAAACAACATTAACTGTTCAACAGTTGACAAAATTTTCACCATTTTGAAAGACGCGCGTCAACATTTTTCGTTCATTCACGAAAAACATGCTCCAATGCGGTCAAAAATATGTTAACACCGTAAAAAGTTGCCAACCCAGCGAAAAATGTAGGCCAACATTTCAAAACGTATCAGTCAAGATTCACCTGAGAAATAAATGTCGTAATGGGCCTGCTGATCCATTGCGAGGAAATTCACCTCGGTACCATCTTTGTCCTCTTTCAAACCAGGCATGCTCCAGTTTCCTTTGTTCGTTTTCATTTTTCTCTTGTTAAAATTGGTCATTCAAGAGCGATTCAGTATTTAAAAAAAAAGAAAGGTCATTCGAGAACAAACCACGCGAGCGTTCCTATTAAGCGCATGAGTCCCTTTCGACAATTAGGCCTCGCTCTTGGCCCGACCTCGCTCGTGCGTGCTGCTGAGAAGACCTCCGGTGTTTTTTACTTTTGGGCTTGCCTAAGCCTGTTGTGGAACCAAATATGGCCCACCAATACTGCCGGCATTAGTCTGGGATAGGGGTAGGGCTGTGCAGATGGTTGGTGGTTAACTCACTGGATGCTCTCCCAGGAAGATTTTGTACGCTTTTTCATTGGAGGTTGGTGTCTCAGAGGCAGCATATTTTCTTTATTTCAATATTGGTACAATGGAAGCACGAAAAGTTGACTTGCAGCGTATGCAAGAGGAATACATGTACACTCTTATGTGACGTCATGAAAATGGAACATTGACTTGGATTATTTAGCGCACTTATTCGCCAAACGTTTCAACATACGTGGACAAACAAAACTTAGGAAATATAAAAGAGGATATAAACACTGGACATAAATATTCTATTGATTTTACTCCAAACTCTGAGAACTTTGGTATCTTTCTGTCATTGCAGACGGGTGTGGCAAGGCTGGACAGATGACATCATACGGCGTCGATAATCGCTCCTTTCCAGAGAAAGGACATACAAGGCGTTCCCTTAATTAGCAAAAGTTTGATGAGGTAACCTACAATCGAACTGCCCATATGCATCGTAGATTAAGTGATAAAGTATTGTAATTCTGAAACAGAGCTTTTGCCGCGCGACTAGTATTTTCATTAATGTGAAACATGGATGTTACTTTCAAAAGGTTACACTGTCACTTTTCATTTGCCTTTGGATGGGAAATGGTTTGCAATTGTACCTTCAAATTAAAGTTCTTAAATTGCATGCCGACGCAACACCTCCCCAGTCTTACAACCCTTTGAGAAGTCATATTTTCATTTTCCATTTCAAATATTTTGAACTAGGAGGAGATGCATTTCACAACCGAATAACAGTCCATGTTCCAGAAGATGGCTTATACTTTCAAAATAGTAAAAGTGTGTGCCAACTGCGGTCCTGCTAACGAATCCTGATTGTGAGATGGAACAGAATTGGACTTTTCTTAATATCTGAGAATCACATTTCCCCGTTTAAAATAAATGTATAAAATTGTGTATGTCAACATAACAAGGAAAGTATCATCCGTGTCCAGTTCAAAGCAACTGTTTTTAATAATGTCCAATCATAAATAGAGATACGGGTACACACATTATCCGGGCATAAACGTGAAAAAAATAGAAAATATTTATCATTTCAGTTGCAAAATTAGGATGAAAATAATGTACTTCAAAACGACATGAGGTCCAAACTACTGATATTTAGTTAATCTTGCTTGCATTTTGAATCCATCTTTCTAAGAGAACCAAAACAAGTTGTCATATGTGTATCACGATTGAGTTTTCGTTTCTTTCTTGCTGCTACAAATAGAACTGCAAAACCTTGCTTAGTGTTCAGTGTGAATCAAACGTGAAAATGCATATGTGGATATTTTTTGTTCTTATCCAGTGGTGAAATAAAACAAACCTTCTCTTCAATACGTTGGAAGTTGTATCCTTTTCTGTAGATAGTGGAAGACCACGGTACCAATTAGACGTGGAGTTGTTCATCAGCGTGCACATTTGCTGAGTATGGAAATCGTTTGCTTCACAGAAGTCTTCGTGTGACAATGTCTAAACTTTTTCTTTACAAATAAGCTACATTTGCCTTGACAGTCCCATTGGATCTTTAAACATAGGGAAGTTGAGTTTGCAGAGCAACTGGTAAAAAGTATATTCACTGAACAGTGAACTACTGCGTTTAATGGATTAGTGCTTACTAATAGTCGCTTTTTTTCCCCAGAACTCAATAAAATTAGGGCTCACAACGCAGTCCTGTTGAATTGGCCACCATTGAAAGTGGTTGTACTTTGGACAAAACGAACTGACATTACAGATGAAGAAAAGAAAACTACAAAAAGCCATCCATAATAACCAGCAAAATCAGGAAAACCTCAACCTTTAAGTTCTTTCGATTATATAAAGAAAAATTTACAGTCCTGTTGAATTGGCCACCATTGAAAGTGGTTGTACTTTGTACAAAACGAACTGACATTACAGATGAAGAAAAGAAAACTACAAAAAGCCATTCATAGTAACCAACAAAATCAGGAAAACCTCAACCTTTAAGTTCTTTCGATTATATAAAGAAAAATTTACGCATTTAGTACACAGCCATTCACACAGCCATCAATTAGAGAAGGAACAACAGAAGCGAATACCCTAAGAAGGAGTGTTGTATTCGAGTCTAAAACAAGTCCCTTGACAAGGCCAGTGACAAGTAACAGGGTGAACAATGACAAAAGAATACTTTTGTCACAGCTCATTTGAATAGCCTGTGAAGTGGATTAAGACTGAATGATTTGAGATGGACTTACAGGGACTTTCAGGGACTTCTGATGGACTCGAATGCAACACTGCTCTGAAGTCTAGCTTTGGTTAAAGTCAAAGACATCTAACCAACATCACGTGACACGCGAAGCCATCCAATTATTTCTTGTGTTTCTCGACAATTGCGAGGAAGTCTTTGACATCTTCACTGGAGCCCATGATGACCGGGCAGCGCTGGTGGATGTTGGTGGGCTGGACGTCCAAGATATTTTCTTCACCGGTTGTTGCCAAGCCACCAGCATGCTCCACAACGTAGGCCATGGGATTACCCTCATACAAAAGCCGAAGCTGAGAAAGAAAGGAGTTTTACTTCTAAGTAATTTACCTTCAAACATACTGGTCCAGCCTACTTTCCTTCGGCATATTTTAGAAACCTTCTTTTACTCTCCAAAATCCTCACAGCTGGACTATACAATCATATTCTTTGTGGCCAGACTTTCAAAGGGCATCCAGTCCAAAATAAAGTTATGGTAGCTGGGCTCTACCTTCCTAAATCTTCCAAAATCCAACAAAACCTTATGAGGGATTTTGGAGGTGATTCTTAATAAAATTAGGTTAAAAATCAATGGCAAGGCTGCAGTAATGGATAGGTCAGGCTAAAATTCTTTTAAAGGTTTTGTAGCAGAAACAAAAAAACAAGCACACGATGTGCAGTTGCTGTCAGACAAAATCAGACAATGTCAGGCAAAGAATAAACAAACAATCTCAAACGTTTATCTCGATGATTAAAAAACTTTTAAAGTCAACTTCATACTCTAAAATAGTCTGACCATTATCCAACAAATCTGGAAACAATCTACATGCATCCCCAAACTATAGCAGTGTTATAGTTGAAACCTCTTAAGACCATCACAAGACCAACACAAGACCAGTCTGAATTCAAGTCACAAAGTATTCAGATGAACTACAACAAAAGCCTTCCTTTGTCACTGTGCACCCTGGTACTTGTGACTGGCCTTGTGATTAGTGGTCTTGTGTCTGTTCCAGGTGAGGAACTTCCAAATCATGCTAGCCCCAAAACATCAAGCCTGCCAAATTTTATCGTACCTTCCCCTTTGTGCTCTTCTTGTGTGCTGGGTATAAGAAGATTCCACCATACACCAAGGTGCGATGCATATCAGCTACCATGGAACCGATGTAACGGGAGCCGTATGCCGCCCTTTCTGGCTGTAAACACACAGTCACATAGCCAATGAGATCAGTTCTGTTCACATTTGCAAACACATTCTGAAATGTATTGTTTTCGTAATGTGGATCTTATCTGAAACCTAAGGGAGAAAGGAATTCCTGCCCCATCGGGCTTGTCTCAAGTCATATCGGAAGAGAGAAAACAAATCTGACTTTTCAGGCAGAGTAGTAAGGCCAAGCAAAAAAAAACAAACCAGGTTTTCATCCCTGCCCACTTCTTTTTTTCCCTGGCTGACTTTTTTTTATTTTCGATTTCTGTTTTTTATTGATCTGAAATGCATATTGATTTAATGAACAAAATATTCAGATACAAAGGCAACTTTTAAAATTTGGGACCAAATTTCAAAGATCTGTTTCATAGCCAATTTTTGTGATAATGAGCCTCTATCTATTTTATTGATCTCATTAGCAGTGTGCATAGCAAAAGCAAGCTCAACTCTAGAGGAAAAAATAGCTTAAACCGCTGATGAAACAGAAATCTCCACACAAGGCTAACGATTAGCAAATCAATGCTATTGATCAGTGCAGCAACATAATTCCTGCAGAAGAAAACACATACTTTGAACTCAGAGAGGCAGAACAGGGGGGCCCTATAGTGCTAGAGGTATTTGATGGTGTGATTGGGAAGGGTTATCACAGACAAATGATACCTCTCCAAAATGTTGCTATTCAGCAAATCTTGCAAATATCATTCAACAAAAAAGCAACACAAAGTCTTAGTCAAAATTGAAACATTTATTTATTTGCTAATGGTTGGGTCATTGGTCAAATGCAAAAAGGCTGCAGACTTACAGTTGTGTTTTTTTTGGTTTCCACGTATTCCTTGATCTCATCATACCAATGTTCTGTGTACCCCTCATTGATGCTGTAGATCTTGCCGCGTGGCTTGATACGGATGTTACGTTCTGTCAGGATAAATTCCCCGATGGCCTACAAAAGATACGACAATATGAATAAAGGTTGGAAGCAAGGAAAGATTGCAGTTTTGGACCAGAGCAAAAAAGCTTTGATCGGACATCTCAATGGAGACTAGCATAAGGCTGTACCGAATATCCGAATAAACAAATATTTGATCGATTGTCGAATATTTGAATACTATTTTTTCAAATTGGAATATTCGAATGCGAAAGTCATAAAAGCATGAGAAAATTTTCTTTTGTTTTAAATGAGAAAATTGCACCATGGAGGCTTGTTTCAAGCAGATTCAAATGAAAAGTTTCAGAACTTTTACAATGATTTAAAAAGTAAATTATTCATTAAACAATTTACAATAGAAATTTTCAACAGGGTAAGAAGTCTTGTTCATCTCTTCAATCTTGCTAAATCGTGGCTGGAGATACTCCTAGATATGAGAAGCTTTTATATTGATCATAATGTACAATTGTGTGTGTTATTGCAACTGATTTTGTATATGGTTTGTTCATCAACAATCTGCCGGTCGGTGCAACCGAATACTCGGATATTCGATCAAATTGAAGGTCGCATATTCGAATAGTAAATTATTCGAATTGACTCAGCCCTAGACTGGCAGGGCAGGTCAAAAAGAGAGGGGGGTGAATGCTTCCTTGATGTTTTTTCATGACTTAAGACTAAGAACTGATTGCATTGCATCAAACCTGGTTCTTTTTGCACGTCAATGTATGAGCGTGCCACACAGCTTGCCGAGCCACAAAAAGTAGCAATCTACATGTAAGATGCCTATAACAGGGTTTCTCCTGGTATGTTGGTAAGGTTGAGATGTCAAAAACAGGAGACAAAATCAAAGTGTACATGTACAAAGCAAATGTGGATGTGCTGACTGGGACGGTGCACATGTCCACATATTCTGATGGTAGATTTGCTCTGATTCAGTCTCCTCCCCAACCCTTTGATTCTAGCTGTAGCCGCAAAATATAAAGGTCAAATTTGCTATAAATTATTCTGATTGCTGTTATTTCTGTGTTGCTGTTTATATTTTTTTTAATGTGGGAGGTGGCAAAAGTGGCCAAAAAAGGCTGAGGTGGTGAGTAAAATGAGTGAGAGGGTCCACCTCATATTTGATTACACCCGAGTTATTTGGGCAGTTTTCCAACAAGCAATGAATCATCTAAACTTATCACTCGGCAGTGTACGGATCATTGACTTCTACTGGATGTGCTCCTAAGGTACATTGAGTCATCCAGTGATGCATGACGTCCTCTTCATTTCTAACCTGTGACTCATGGCTCCAACAAAAGGCAGCTTAACTTGAAGCCTGGCTGAGTTGATCCCTGCCAATTTGGATCCGGTCCAATGCCTGATCCCTTAACCACTCATCAAACCCTTCCCTGAATATTCCAACGGAAGACAGAACTGTCATTTGGGTTTCCACCCATCCATGCCATTTGTGCATAACAGATCCCCTCCCTGAAGGTCATGTGTACCGTACATGTATTTCCATTACAAGTTAATGTGATCGCTGATCAACTTCTCTAGCTTGCAATATTGATTTATTGACAATAAATTGCTGGAAACTAAATTTCAGGAAACAAAACTTGAGAGGCTCACAGGATCCAGCATAAAGCCATTGACGGTACCCCCTGTGCAGAGAACAACCATTGTGGCGCTACCGTAGAGAGCGTAGCCTGCTGCAACCATCTTCCGACCAGGCTGCAAGATCTGTTCATTGGTGGGCGCATCACTGGCTCCCTGTCATATTAAAGATGTGGAAGCAAATGGTAATTACGCAACCTGTCAAGTGCTATTTTCCACTGAGAGTTGTGTGTCTCCACTTGTTGGAAAGTATATTGCCAATTATCGCAAAATTCCACAGGTACATGGATGGAAAGGTATATGTATATGTATGCGGAAGGCACAGGAGAAGAAAGGTCACGACAATGGAAAATTGAGTACTCTCTTCCTGTTTGATATACATGCTTGCTTTTGGAACTGGGAGGTCAAAATAATGTCAGACAGGTGTGCTTGATATACAGATGAGAAGGGCCATGCTGTTATTCTTACATTTCTCCAGATGCCGAAAATAGAACCAATGGAGACAAGACAATCTATGTTGGACGATCCGTCGAGTGGATCGAAGGCAACGATGTATTTCCCCCTCTGCTCAGCATCGACCTCGATCACCGTTTCATTCTCCTCTGAGATGAGGGCGCAGGTCGTGAAGGAGGAGCGGAGAGAATTGATGAAGAGGTCATTGGCCAAGACGTCCAGCTTCTTCTGTTCATCCCCGGTTACATTGGTACTGCCTGCTATGCCATACCTGGAAGGGGGGGCGGGGAATGAAACAACTATCCGATCCATATTTGGGGGAAGAAATTACTTCCAGAGCGGTACATGTAAACTGTTACAAGATGAAGAATACCGACACAAAGAATTCTCAAACACGTCTGTCCAGAATAAGGCTGGACACGTCAAGTTATTTTCTTAAATCATAACTAACGTTGACAATAAGTGAATTAAATCATAAATAGGCAATTATTATTTTCACAATAAGTGAAAAGTAATATGTCTAAAGTACACCGTATGACTATGAGCTCAGATTTACCATGCTTGAACTTACAGTTTAGCAATTCCAGCTTTACGTACAGCAGACGACACGGCTTTGATGGCGGTCAGAAGTGAGTTCAACAGTTGAGTCAACTCGCCAGTTGCGCCGGGAATCTTGCGTTGTTCCTCGAGAACAAAACGCGTCAGGGTCATGAAATCAGTCTGCAGAGCGCCTTCCGACATTGTGGCTGAATCTTCTCCGGTTCAACGCTGTAGTTTGGCGAAATTCGCGGTCACAAACAAAAGCCCTCCAATGCCTCGGAATTCACAGCTACCTCATTCACGCAGCACTGCACGCACACATGATGCAATGCGTGATGGTGCACTTTGTGTGAATTTGTTTACCGTGTACTGGTGGGTCAATCATCAGCTGGAGCCAATGATATGGTACGATTCAATCACGTGATAGACACACCCCCATCGGGATAAATCTAGTAACCTGTTCTTGTTAAGCTAAATTGCTCGTTGTGAGAAGCGGGTTCCAAGCTGCATGCCTACGTGTAGGTTACGTGCGTACGTGATGGGTTTGGTCTGCTACGTGTCAGAGCGGTACCGCTGGATGCATGAAAGAGGGGAGAACGTAAGAAATGAGCGCGGCCAGCTATAGCTGATCGAAAAGAAACTCCTGTACATGTGCCTAGAAGCAAAATTAATAGCGTCTTTTGTCCTTATCTGCTCTTCTTTGACCTCACTTAGTAAAATGGTAAAGTAGTAAAGAATTCGAAGAACGTTGACTGAAATTTCAAACTCAGTGGAAATGCGGGTAGGCCTGAGATACGCTAGTCTCAGAACTGATAATCCTCTGCTGAGTGCCGGTAGGCCCTGACATACCAGCTGATTTAAAAAAAATTCTCATCAGGTATGACGAAACTGCATATATATGTGAAATAAAGAGCAAAGAAAATAATATGCATCGAAAGAAATGAATGTCACGGACATCTGTGCCCAAATTATGTCGCCTTGTGAAACTTAAAAAAAAGTGGGCCCCACATACGGGGCATTTTCCTGCCCAAGTCTGCTCCAATCCAAGCCCCCGCTGACTCGCTGATGTCACTGCTCTGCGACGATGCCCTCTTTCGTGCACCGATATTTTTCAAAGGACTACGGCACACGTCATTAACTTTGCGAGTTAATTTTAGGCTATTCATTCCACGAATTACTCATGATTTATGCATTGCAGCTGAGTAACTTGCGTGCGGGCACATAGGCCGAAGGCTTTCCAAAAATGTTCAACCCCGTTTCTAGTGAGTAGTTTTTCTTTACCATTTCATAAAATTTCCCAAGTGATGAGTTATATTTTGGCTCTCCTCAATCTGTTCAAGTGAAATATCATGTTTGCCTTCTTCTGACCTTGGGCAAATTAATTTATTCCAACAGTAATTGTTGCTGATTATATTAAGGGTAGGGCACCAATGCAAAGAATTCTTGTGCTATATAACCCTTTACGCATTTTTAAATGCAAATTTAACTTCTAAATTTACCGTTCCGTTCAAACACTAATACCTGCCGGTCAAATATTGATTGGGTCCTTCAGGCAAAATTTGAATTTTCAATTTTCTAAAGTATTAACTTGTGAATAGCGCCACCTGCAGTCCACATACATCCAATCCCATAATTTACTAGCAAAGAGCCAGTCTGTTTAGTGCAGCGAGTTGAGAAAGCAGACGACCCAACCCTCGTGCGTATTCTGCCATCGATTTCTTTTGGCGCGCCAACTCGTCTCCAATTAAACCTTTATATGAAATTACTCCCATTCGTGGGCTGACCCGGGCACAGCTTCGTGTCAACGGTCGGTTGCGCTTGTGATATCAGAGCATTTTGATTTTGTCATCAACCTTGGACGGACGAGAAAAGGACGGCCGTGAACATGTGAAAGGTAAGCGAATTTAAGTCCTGTTCACGTTCGCAATGACACACGCAAACGGAGGTCCAATGTCTAAATGGAGCTGTGTACAATGAGAGGCCGCCTACCATCCATATGATCACATGCTGTACAAGAAGATCTGTCTCGTGTCCCGCACAGTGCCATATGCCGAGACGCAGTCAATAGTCCGGGATGCTTTAAGTTGATAAAGACAAAGTGTCTTCCGAACTGGAGCAAGCAAGGTAAAATACCCCATGATGTACGGTGTGGTCGCGCAATAACCACTTCATCGTTTTTCGCCAATATTTTGTTACATTATTCCTGATCCAATTTTGATGCATGTTGCTCATTAGGTTGATATTTGATATCTCCACCATATGGGATATCACCTTTCACTTTTTAATAAAAACCCCGGCCATGTGAAATAGATTTGCAGTGGTGTATTAAGACTGTTGTAATTACACTCTCTGCAAAATGTGTAAAGGGGTGTTGCTGGGAAATATCGGTACATTTTTTTTAATACATGGAATGGGAAAGAGCTATAACATACAACAAATAATTCGCCCTAATGCAGGAAATTCTAAAAAGCAAAGCTGCCTGCATAAATATGAAATGGACTTCGACCTCGAATTGAGGTTAAGGCATGAAAGTCAATCTTTTTTTATTAAAATGCAGACACAGAGATAAATAAGGTGATAAATGTCATGTATTCAGTGGCAATATATATGAACTACCTTCAGCTGAATACCACGCAGGGGTTTGGTACGTAGGACTTTGCTCTAAGAACAACACGAGAGAAGATTAAAGTGAACGTTACTTTTCATCTGATATTTATTTCTTTTGAATTCATCCATCTTGTTTAATTCATTATCATTCTTTTTTCTCTCTTATTTGGAAGCAAAGTTCAAATCAACGGGGCTAACTGATTCTAATGCACAGGGGATTTAAAACCGAGGTTTTTATCCACGGCTGTTAAGGGTCTTTCTCTTACTTGTCATCTCAACCTTTTCTAGCCTCTGAGATCACAAGTTGGAAGGTGTCTTTCCATAACTTGGTAATAATTTTGTACATGTAGGCTATGTCGAGGGCTACGATTTGCTTCAATATTGTAACTGCATGGTCTCTGGTGACCTTAAAAGTAATGGCATCTACAATTGAATTGTCCTGCTGCACGTCTCCGTCTAGGTCTCTGTCAGTGTCATGTTTTTTGTTGTTGTAAGAAAATAATTCATTTACGTAGAACGTGACCCCCAAAACAGTGCCTTCAGAGACCCAGCTTCTTAGTTAATGCACGAATCACTGCGGCAGACAATGATCCTTGTGAGCTGTCAATCATTGTCTATTCAGGATGTGAAGTGGCGGCTGGCCAGAGTATGGGCCTAGTCGGGCTGCTGAGATCCACTGATTTCTGTTGAGATTTCCTGCTCAACCTTTATAATTGTCTGATTATATCAACATTGTGTAAGCGTGTTCATAGGAGACTGAAGAGGAATCGTGAAGTCAGTGTTATCTGAGAAGTGTTCACAGTTTCTTTTCTGATAAAAGATAGGGAATAATTTTGATCGACTCTATAATTGCTAAATCGTTGTAACGGTGATGTTATTGTACAATTGTGCAAGTGAGGCGTACGATCATGGGCGTTGTCCCCGTGGGGAACACTTTTCCCAGGGGAAAATTTTCGGGAAGGTGGGGAAAAACCACTCATCATCAGCGAGCTGATAAACAGCGATAGGAGGTCAATTTTGAGGCTTTTCCCAAGCAAATTTGTGATTTTCATTCCCTTTCATCTCTTGCTCCTCATTCCTCTTTCTTTATTCTGTTTTCATGTTTGCTGGGGGGGGGTATAGCACCACCCCCTGCCCCATCGTGAGGCCAGTCCGTTTGTTTACGTGACGGGCTTCCAGCGCAGCAGCTACCTTCAACTTTAACTCAGGCTATTATAGGCAGGTTCTGCAGCCCGGGATATCATAGGAATACATTATCTTTTTGAATCATCACTAAAAAGACGCACAACATCCCGCACCGCGGGGCTCAACTGCTCATCAGGTTGTGCACGCATCGGGAGCAGTGTAAATCTTACCGAACTGTTTACTTCTCTGCTCGGGAGCCCTGCTATTTGTGTACCTGGGCGATGACGTCATAAGCCAAGTCGTTTATCGTTATATTTGCGTCTGGGGAATAAAGAAAGCTAAGTCTAGCCTACAGGGAATCTCTGAAGACATCAACGACTTTTAGTCATGGCCAATAAACCCTACCGATTATTCATTTCAATATTCAACCAGATATTGCAGTCCTCGTGAATCTAAATCGCAGGTTTGTCAAGGCCGGAAGTACATGAAAATGTTGCACTGAACATTTTAATCTATTTCAAAAAAGGTAATTTTGGTGTTGTTTTCCCTCGTGCTTTTACCTTGGAATCAAAAACGTTTATAGGGACCGGGAATCATCCCCCCGTGTTCTTTTGCAAACTAAGTGGCATAAAGTGGCTAAAAATTAATTAAAATGAAGATTTAGAGATCGAAAACATCTGTATTTCACCAACTGGATAATTTCTTACATATACGTGTACAATCACTGATTAATGCAGCACCGTGCACAGGCTTAGGCCATAGCGTCTTACTCAACTTTGCTCATATCCTATATCACAGGGGAGTAGGCACTCAGTGAAAAAGAAGAACATATGGTCGAAAAGTTGATTTCATCTTGCAAACATGAATTTTGGATTCAGCAAATAAGCGCAACGAAGCATGATATGGAGTGGGCCGCCATATATCTTGCACGATTCCGTTGACTCACGCTACACGTGACTTACGGGTGGAATGACTGTGCGTCTTGATGAAGGCGTGTTTCCTGGTGCGGCATGGCGATGGCTCGAACACTCCCGGATAATTTATTCTCATCTCCATCAATTTATAAGGTGAGAACTCTTGTTGAATCACCAAGGAACTACAAAGTACAGTCGTCCTGGCTCAAGACTGACACGCTGTAATACCATTTCGACTAGTTGGGATGCGATACGTAAACGATGGCTTGCCTTGAGCTACAATTTTTCAATTTTCCATATTTTGAAGCGCTCCATTTGTTATTGAAAAGTACATTCATTTAACGCACACATGCAAGCCTAGTAGCTGTGCGTGGTTGGCAGGTGAATAAATTTAGATCGATGAAACCTGTAATTAATAAACTAAACTGGTTGTAGGCATTTTTCCGGGGAAACATTCTTCATAAGTGAAGTCTGCAGATGTTTCCTTTCGATTGCATGGCGAAATGTCAGTGAAAGAAAGATTATTTGAAATCAACTGACTTTTGGAAGTGCATGAACTTTTGAATTCAACCTTAGAAAGTGCGTTTGCATACGTGCCTTCAATGCTTTGTGCTAACCAACGTCATTTGGTGGCACTAAATGACCAAAAAAGGATTTTTAAAAGCAATATGAAACAGATAAATATAAAGAAAATGAAGTCATATTAGATTGAGAAATTGAAACGAATTTTCACCGTATATCAAACGACTGGATATACCTCTGAAGAAAGAAAACATCTTAAGACCATGAGCCACATTGTGAATGTTTACACAAGAAGGCCAAAATGCACACTCTACTTGAAAATTGTTTTAAAGAAAGAATGCAGCTTAAAGGCAACTTAAATGGATTTGGGAGTTTTGTGGTTGTTCTCAAGACCTACGTTACCAGCAGTCCATACAACCCACAGTCGCCCATATCCTGATAGCGGCCGTGTGCTCGCACGATCGCTTCTAGACTTCAGTCCAGAGAAATCGTGTTCCCGTCTCGCGGTCCGCCCGCTTGCATTCGTTGCAGAAAGCACTACTGTCGGCGATGACTCACGCCTAAGACATATTTATAGAAGTCAAGATGAGATCAACCAGATAACAATAGTTGCCACTTCGCATAACCAAGACAGTCTAGCAAGAACGTTGCATTATGTGTTAGCGAGGGGGCACAATGACTGCCCGCCGCTGAAGCTTCAAGCCATCAGGTTGAAATGCGCGCAGGTGCATAATTTACTAGGTTGAGTCATTGGTTTTAGTGTCTGATAAGTAGCCATTAAAATAATTCTACAAGCGCACGCAATGATCTGATTATTCATTTATTTTTTTAGTAGCCAATCGCCAAATTTGTATTTATGACCAGTTGTCGTCTTTCATGGCTTTGGACAGTTTATGCAACCAAATCAGCCGCGATCAAAATATGACGTCACTTCCGAGATCGGGAGGATCTGGGATGGATTATGGGATTTGCCATCAAAAACAGGGCTGTTTCACCTGTCAGACATGACATGTAAGACGAGGACTTGAAACTGCAGATTGTTTTAGGAACACTTGTGCTGGGATTGAATGACGTGGGTTTAAGACCAGACAGCACGATGATGCTTTCTATGGCTGGTTCAGTGTATCTGCGTAAATCTATGTCGAAGATGAAATTTCAACTCGGCAGACTTAAAGAGATAATACAGTGCGACTTTTTGTTTTTAGAAGGCATGGTTTTCTTGACCATACTTGCGGATTCCTGTGTTCTAATGTCAAAGGCATGGCTCCTACTGAATAAAATATTTTGCCAAGAAGTTTTAGTACCTAAGGCACACTTTCTTTTTCAGATTACAATTTTTTTCAAGGAGGCAATGTAGGAAGATGGAATAACAATAAAGCAAACTAGAGGTTGGTCATGTTCTGTCTCAATGGCTTTGTAAAAGGAGAACTTGAGAGATAGTGGGGAAAAATAATGTCATAAAAAATGTGTGCTGATACTGTAAACGGTAAATTTCAGTTGGGGCGCACCGTAGTAAGCACGAGTTCGGGTGGAAATGAAATTTAAAATGGGCCACAGGTGAGTTTCGATTTTTTATGCTTGGCCAAAGTGAAGTCGACAGACCAATAATCCGGGGAGAAAAATGGCGTTGCCATCACTTTGGTTGATCAACGTGGTTTTTACTAAGAAAAATTAATATTTCCACGGCTCAGCGAATTGAGGGATTGCATAATGGAACAGTGCCCCG